TTAGTTTTCCAGCCTAGAAACTATTCCACTTTATTCCGCGCGGTACTAATAGTGCTTGAACTGGGATTTCCAATGACTGTTAATTACATTTGATGCAGCTCGGCATGCGGAGGACTGGCTGACTGGCTGTTGAGTGGTTGAGGTGGGGATATGTTGACCAAGATATAATTGTCTTATTTGATTTTTGTCAATGATCTATTACAATTTTACTGGGATACATGAAGGCTAGAATATTTCTCGCCAGCATTGATCAGTTTTCAGTGTTGGAGTTGTACTGAAATTGAATAATTATTGTGTTTCAATCAGGAATGCCCTTCCATGCCAGTGAGAAAGTGGCTGCGTGCTGCCACAGCTCGTATCAGTGGCTGGAAAGCCAGTGCTGCTCTCAGTGCGATTGTGTCAGTGGTTGCGGAAGGTGGTGTGCATGCAGTGCGCTCTTGTCCCCACAATACGCTCGCGCTATAGCCTCAAGTATGGGTGTCGCTCTGGCGTTCTGTCACACTCTCTTTATGGAGTTCTTCTTCGAACCTCTAATAGTGTTCATCGAAAAAATATTTTGGGTATATAATTATCCGTGGAAAAATTGTGTTAATATTGAGTGATTGTGTGTGATTTTGGTTATCGACTTGTAAGATTACCTAGCTTGGAGCCATCCCTGCTGGCAAAGTGGTGCGAATTTGAGGTTCCAGGTTGATGTCTCTGACACTTGCATCCTCGACTTGAGAAATTAGGAGCATTCTTACTTCCGGCACCCTCCGGAGAACAGGCGTGACAGTAAACTAGTGAGGTCTCTCTGCATTCAAAATCGGCGCTTGACGAATCTTCCATTCGATTTGTAGTGTATGAAATTCAAGGCGTGTATAAGACTTAACAGGCTACCATTCTAACAATTAACTCTGAAAACTGACAAAAACTGTAATTAATAAGAGAGAAACCGTGCGTGAAGTGCATAATTTCGTGAAATATTGTGCAGTTTAGGGACAGCCTTTAGTTGGCGACGCTAGAACTGTTACTCACCCTGCGCGTGTGTAGTTTTGTACTCAACTTTTTTATCATTATTAAGCTATTTTTATTATTTTCTATTCCCACTTCGGTTCGATAAAACTAGTTCTTAATGTTCAGTGTTTTCAAAGTTCGTGTGGTTTTAAAATTCATTTGTTAATTTCAACTCGTGCTTACTCGTTATAATTGCTGCGATTCTTGTCTTCAGGCTACTCGTAACGCTGCCCTTAATCTTTGTCAGCCGTAACGCTGCCCTTAATCTTTGTCAGCCGTAACGCTGCCCTAGGCTTAGCTTATTGCACGATACGGTAACATTCTAGCCTTAGGGTCCGCATGTGGTTGGTAGAACTATTAATATAAGGAGCTGGTCATCGAAACGTTTTCATTGATGATGTAGTAAATTTACTAGGCGTAAGTAACATATGCTATGTTGAGCGCAGCGACAGTATTAAATACCTTTCGCTCCAAACTAATCTAGGCAAACATTAGTGAAGCATTCAAACGCTAGCCTCGTGAACACATCCACTCCATCACCATCAAGACCTGCCATTGATTCCTACAATGAATATAATGTTTACAACTGAAACATACTCACGTACCGAAGAGACCTATCATCTATATCAGCTTGACACATGGAACAACTGTGGTCTCGAGTGTTTAATTGTTTAGATATTTTGATATACTGGTTAAAATTGACACTTTACCGAACTGTGATCATTCTGATCTCCTGATGACCTTTGTAAAAACGTAAAAAAAATAAATAAAAAATAATTGGCCTACCTGAACTTGACCTCAGTAGGATTGTCACAGTGATTGTGATGGAGAGGTTTATATATACACCCCTAACACTAACCTAACGGGATGGTCGTTTTTTGGAAGTAATGTAATGTCCAGTAATGATACTCATTTATATTCGCTGCCGGTTATTGAGCACAATCTCTTTACAGAAATAATAATCGGACGCAATTTTGTCCGGTTTTCTAACCCCTGTTCAGTACTGTTACCAATACTGTCCGGTTAATAGCGACGCTATCTAAGTATAAATAAAGAAATAAATATAAAATATCTATTACAAATAATAATTATCTATGTACAGTTTAACAGACCAATATTCTTGTCGTTCCTAATGCATCATCTTGAGAAACTAAATTCTCGCAGACCAGAAAAATATCGCTAAAAGACATATTGCCGCTCCTGCTATGGCTCACATTTTCTTTTCTCCTATGCCTTCAGATGACGAGCTAATTTTAGCCCACTGGTCGTGATAATCAGGAACGGTCAGCACTGATTAAACCCCGAATATCCTAACAATAAAACTTGCAATAATGTTAATGATGCTCACATTAGAAATTGAGAATGTTTCAAAGTAGAAAAGTGCGTGAAGAAAACCAATGCGCTGCTGGTGGCTACATTATACTCGTATACTGGTTACTATGCTTCTGCTCTATATACATCTACTGCTCTACTATACTACGACTATACGTACTAATATACCATAAATCACCAGCCATCACAATTTTTATACGTGTTCGTCTGAACGTTCGATGATTCCCTGCCATTTATATATCAATCAGAAAAACGAATCTGACTTCAAACAGCAATGCATATTTGTGTGGGTCATCCCAACCCAGTTGATCCGGCAACAGGGCCTTGGCGAACTACGTACAGAAAGTGTGTCACTATTTGAACAACATGACTCATTTATTATTATGAGTGTCGGTTGTCATGGCCAGGCTGCTGCCATCTAGTGCAGGACGCATGCCCCCCTCTCAGGAGGGTGGGGCAGCGCACCCCCACCCACCCCCCCCTTGTTCTGGTAAACTCAGTGTTGGACCTAACCATCGTCACTCAGGAAAATGAATAGGTATTAGTGTCCAGATATTGACGTACTTTCTTATCCACAGTGCAGGCAGAGAGCGGAGAGAGCATTGATACGCCTTGCATCGCTACGCCTTTGCGTCTGTGCAAACTGTTTAGCATGACACGTACACAAAGACAAAACGTGCGTCACTATTTAGACCGAGTATATAGAGCCATCTGGGTGGCTTAATGACGATAACTTATTCATACTATTGTCTGCGTTATAAACTATTTGCGCGGCTTGCAAACTGCTCTTCTAATTGCAAACATTTATGTGGTCTAAAACAACAATTATTTATGTGGCCTCCAGCAACCAATCATTTATGTGGCCTGCAGCAAGCAATTATTTATGTGGCTTTTTACAAGCGGCCATGAAGGTGGCCAGTCTAGACTCTATCAATGGCCACCATGGCGTATTACCGTCAACCGTTTAGGCGGTCTACTAACTGCCATTACCGTGGCTATAATAACGGTCCTTTTGTGTTCATCATTGATGTTCGCATTTTCTTGTCATTCCAATTAGTATTTTTATCGCGGTTAATTTCGTATCATAACTAGAATATTATTTTATTATAGTATATTACTGTAGCATATTTCCACTTAGAAGGGGCCGGTAGTTATTTGATGCCTTTTTTTGGTTCAGATTGCCTTTATAATTTTTTCAATATGATTTATTTACATTTGACGATAAACTTCGTCTCTGTTGCTAATAAACTTCAGAGCTCTGTTGTTTTAACTTATAACTTCATCATCTTATTTGCCTCTCGTCGATACTTTCATTTCATACACATGCAGAATTCGATGCTAAAAATTTCACTGTAATAAAAAAAAACTTTTTCTGTGGACTTAGAAAGCGTGCTGGGTTACATGGACCAAAATTTCGTAACCAAATCTAGAAGTTCGATTGTAGTTTAGTCCAGGCCACTCAATCAATTCGAACTTCTGTCAAGGAGGAAAAGGGAAATTGTTTTGACGACCACAGTGTCAGATATATTTTAGATAGGTATATAGAAAGTGTTTTACCCTGCCAATTTTTATAGAATATAACGCATTTACTGTAAGTTATACAGTTATCTGACACCGTGAGAAACTGATTAATGACTGGGTCATTGACGATGCGCGCGCACTGTTGAAGAGATACCGAGCTGTAGTGAGCGGTCACGTGCATGGACAGCTGTACGTAGCAGCTGCTACTAGCCTCCATGACCGACCTTCATTCATATATCTTCATTGATAATGCCGGTATAATTACATACGTGCGTGCATCACTTCCAACATCCGTGTATGCCTTTGATATCGTGGCGTGGCAGGAACTAGGCGTTTTTAACGCAGGAACTAGGTGTTTTTAACTAATTTATATGTCGTTGCATGCCAGATTGCTGAGTTTTTTTGTGTTATTTCAAGTTATTCGACCACTATGGCATACCTATGCCATCAGCGCTCACTTGCATCTTAATAGGCACAACATATTTAAAACTTCTTAATTTCTGCTCTCATCTGAATGTACAATACATTTTACTACTTACGGAAATGCACGAAAAACGATTATATTTGGCAAAAAAATCGTATCATTTAGCTATTCAATCATCGGACATTGAAGACACTTGAGAACTTGATTGATAACGCAGCAAAACATAATAAGTCACTGAATTACTATCATTAAACTAAGAAGGACACGTTGAGTAAGTTGCGTTGCTACCTTACGAGGCGGTGCCGAGATATCCATAAAGATAGCGGACTGCGGTGACGCCGGACTGTGACGTCAGGCGTGTGTTTGCCGCTCTCTTTCTCTCGTATTTGTGCAGCCGTTGCTCCGTTACTGGCCGCCGAAGCGCTTGGTTATTAGAACTGAATTATTTACTTTAGAGTTTGTAATTAGCAGGATAGTATAACACTGTTATGATTTCGCCTTGGTCAGGTCCAAATGAATAATTAAGCGCATCATTAGGGGCCTGTTCACTTGTACGCATCATTGATTTTCTGTGCAACAGCTGCCAGATTCAAACGTTATTTTTTACGGTGAATATGTTTGTAGAAAACTGTTGTTCATTCTGATAAAGGTAAATTGTTAAAATTGCCTCTAATGAAGTAGATGTTATTGTTTAATGACCATGCTAACCTCATTTTTTTCCTTAACAGAGTATACCATATGTTTATAAAGCCTTTTCTCGTGAGCGATTCGGAACTTGATATTTCAAATCATTGTTGCATATTACACGAGTGACAACATTCATTTATAAGTAATTGTAACTATATAGGTCTTCACGACGCCAGCAGTTACTCGCGCGAATCTCTTCAGCTGTTCTGATAATTTCTCGTAGTGTTTTAGTAGCTTAGAGATCTACTCGTGCCTTATTGCAAGAACATTTCAACCACACTTCTTAAAAAAAAAAAAACGCTATGTGAAGAAAAAATACGATACAGCTTCTCCGATGCCGAATGGGTATTGGAATCTAGTCAAGTCTATTAATTACGAATAGCATCTTCGCTAAGAATGAAATGATCATGTTGCGGTAGAAGAACAAAATTTTGTGTGTTTTTTACCTTGAAAAGTATTGAGGGTAGAAAGTGTTTGAACTACTATGGCTGAACACCCATTGCATATTTATGCATCGCTATGGGAAATTATTTATTTCTAGGTTCAAATACAGTGCTAATACTGACGAATTACGCTTGATCGCTACATATAAGAAGGCAAAGTTCGTACGTGTGATGTTTCCTGATAACAAGTAACGGAAGCGGGGGTGCGCTCAGTCAATGACCACTTACATGAGTGCGTAGGTTGCCTGGTTTTGTTTTATCAGTGATACGACGAAGTCGTGAGATCATGGACGTAAGTAGATTAGCTTTGTATGATTGTGAACTATTCTTCAAATTAATTATTAATGTTTTATCTAATTTATTGCATTTTCATCAAAATTTTCCGTAATACGTCGGTCCTGTCAAGATGGAAACCAAAAAATTTTACCGTTCTTCCGGAAAATTTGTGGTGGACACCAACTTCTTAGTTGGGGGTTAGTGAAGAGATTAGTGCAAAGATCATGAAAATGACATATAAATCTACGATTTGAGTAGCTTGAATTGACACACCTGGAAAAAATTCGGAGTGGAGGTTTGAATCTCTGGTTGTAAATGGCATGTCTCTTGTATAGCTAGTAGATTTACTCTGAAAAAGTACCGACTCTGAAAAAGTTTTGTGAGATCACGAATTGCTCTCACTATTCATAGAAGACATTATTTTGTTCTTGAAACGTATAACTAGTGTAGAACCAAGTCGGGGCTGATTCGTCGAACAAACTATATTTTATTCGATATATTTTCGATATTATTAAAAAAGCGACTTATGAAATTATGTAAACTTGAAATAAGTAAACGTTCAACTTTAGAGTATTACACAATTAGGCATGCAAAGTGCTGAGAGTGACCAATGGAGTTTGACGTTCGGCGTGGTAGAACAATTCTACCTCAGACTCACTCTGAGCAAATCCGGAAACTGACGACGCTTTATCCTGGAGCCGATAACGTGAACGTAGCGATGAGAAATCTGGTCTTCACGCAGCCGAGCGTGCTGCTGTGAACCTGTTTTTTTTTATGATTTGTAAGTATTAAAATGGACTCCATGACCTACGAAGAGCTATTTAACAGTGTCAATACTCGTTCAACCAGTGGAACAGTGAATGACTTGATTATATCGACGAGATTAATCGTGTGGTGTTCCACCAAATAACTCATTATCGATCATTCTTTCTTGCGTTTGGTGCTCCTCCGTATCTGGTGCTCGTGGTTCAGAAATTGCATCGTTATGACCTCAAGTTTGCGCAGTATGGAGCTGTCGTGCGATTAAAGCGCCTAATCCATGGCGCATTAGAAGCGTTGCCACCACACGTGTTGTTCCCGCCCCGCAATCGTGGCGTGTGCAGTCATCACCATGTCCTCCAGTGGCGCCCCTGGAAAATCTTCTTCAGGGCGGCTCTCGAGGTGGCGCAATATCGTCAACCGCTTGAGAAGAGGGTACGTCTCAAGACTCAGGGTACATGGGGCAAGATAGGGTTAGCGGTATTCAAGGTGTCTATTGTCTTTGTCAAGTCTTTTATTATTAACAGATCATGATCCCTCTTGAGAAGTTAGTACGTCTCAAGCTCCAGGGTACATAGCGCAAAATCCCACTCACGGTCTTCCAATTGTCTAGTCTTTTTCAAAGTGTCTTAATAGATGTCTAATGTTTTTCAAGTGTCTTAATGTTTTCCGATCAAAATCAGGAGCAGTGACATTGCCACTGTAATGTATGCAATCTTGGGTATTGAATGTGTACACTAAACTGACTCACAGATGTCCTTTCTAATTTACATGAAGATATTAACCGCTGGAGTCCATTATCCAGCCTACGGTTGTTTACGAACCGTCCCATGTGATGGTCTTCAGGTTTTCTATGGTTTTCACGGCCAATAAAACTTTGTAAACGGAAAACAGAAAATTTAATACCAGCCATCATGTAACAGAACAAAAGGTTCGCCAACATTTGACTAGTCTCACAGGCCACAGCAACAGTCATGGGCCTCAAGCCACAGGTTAAAATTAATTTGCAAATATGTCTGCAAAGTCAGGATAGACAAATACGTATGGTACTAACTCCTAGTACAAATTTAAATTGGCATTGTAGCCTATTACTATTAGAATATGTCCAATGTCTCCTCGCCGTACCGTAATGGACAGCGCCGAGATAATAAATGGCTCGTACTGACGGAGCGATAATGAAAACTAATCAAGTAAACCAGTGCTACACGCTATGCATAGAAGCTGCAGCTGCAAGGATGATAAGCCAACTGCTAGCATTTTGCCCTGACTTTCACTTGAATTTTCAGCAATAAATCTAGTATGATCTATAGAAACTCGACACAAATCCGAGGTATTCTTTAAATTTGTTAAAAGTTTACATGTATTAGTGCATTTGATGAGATGTGTCGAACTTTAATTTAAACTTCAACAAAGATGAGCTGATCTTTAATCTGAACTTCAACACAGATGAGATGCACTTTAAATTGAATACACTATTATTAATTTTGCAGGCGTCTGATTTGATTGGGGCGCTCTTGATATCTCATCGCTTTTTACGCAGAGCTCTTTAATGTCGATAACAATTTGTAAGATTGCTATTAGCATTTATCGGTGTTAGTGTCCGAGCGGGCTCCTTCAAGAAAGCCTGTAAAAGTTCTCTACGCTGTTCGAAATAACCGAGAAAAATGGTCTCAACGGCGTTCTAGCAACAGGCTGCTCGTGAAAATGAACCTTTTCGCCGTTTTTTAATATTTGTGACGAACTAATATTGAATAATAGCTAATTAATCGCGTCACCTCAAAGTTCGGATGGTCTAATTGTCACGTCCACCAATGACCGGAAATTAAATGCAACTTCCCTATTGGTTTTATCAGCAAGAGCTTGGACTGAGCGGATAGTTACTCGAACAAACGTTTTAAGTTTATTAGAGATGAACGGCAAATTAATATAAACAAATAACACTAATGATTTTACAGAGGTGCGGCATATGAAATGAACTAACAAATTAAATGCGGAGGAAGCTAAAGTGCGATGAGAGCAAAATGCGAGGAGAGAGCTAGAGCATTGAGATCTGAGAAAACGCACGATCCTACAACAGAAAACAGAGAGTAAATATATACGCATGACAAGTCGTATATACACAAAAATCACGATATTTCATCAAGTATTCCAAGCTATATTTCACCACCATAGCACGCAACTCACCCTGGCGTCTGAGTCAAAATCCTATAAGAGAGGAACCAGGACGCAAGTCGGGATCGGCATAGTATCTGACGGCTATACTGAACTTAACACCGACGTCAGAGTCGGTCCTACTTAAACTGCATAGTCTGACATACAGTAGTGGGAAATTTGCAGCAACACTTCATTACAATATTATACGGGTTTCTAGTGTAAAAGTGATAAATAACGGCGACATGGTGTTTTTTAGGTGCCGGCCGGTCACTGAAATGCCGGTTATAAAGTTTAACGGTGATTTTTCGAACAGCGTGTAATACAGTTACAATCCTTCATTAAATGAAAGTTTCGGAATTTAATATTGTGTTGAACTGTTTGATGCCTCAATCTTGATATTCACATATTAATTAAGAAAGGCTACAATGTCGATCGGCTTATATGAGCTGTTTTGAGAACTCGATATGTTCATTACTTCAGGCCATGTTTGTCGTCAATTGTTTCTGACAACTTTAGTTGTTTGTTGGATGTATGTCGTGCTTCAGACACAATTATTTACTAAATCTTAAACTTGCCTCTGAAACTCGTCAGAAATGCCCTGTAATCCACCTGCCATTCTTTGTAATTCTTCAGCTTTATTTTGTAATTCTCCAACCATACTCTGTAATTCTTCAGTATTGTTCCGTCATTTTTCAATATGACTCACTATTGCTTCAGAATTACTCTTTCTTACTTCGGGATTACTCTGTATGCCTTCAATATTGCTCAAGATCTCTTCAAAATGTCTTGCACTGACCGCTCACTCACCGTCCCCTCCCCTCCCCCCAGTGCGCGCCACCCCTCCTCCTCCGGCATGGGGCGGCCAGGCTTCTACATCAACGGCGACAGCGACCCACCGTGAGTAATAATATAAACAAATAACACTAATGATTTTACAGAGGTGCGGCATATGAAATGAACTAACAAATTAAATGCGGAGGAAGCTAAAGTGCGATGAGAGCAAAATGCGAGGAGAGAGCTAGAGCATTGAGATCTGAGAAAACGCACGATCCTACAACAGAAAACAGAGAGTAAATATATACGCATGACAAGTCGTATATACACAAAAATCACGATATTTCATCAAGTATTCCAAGCTATATTTCACCACCATAGCACGCAACTCACCTTGGCGTCTGAGTCAAAATCCTATAAGAGAGGAACCAGGACGCAAGTCGGGATCGGCATAGTATCTGACGGCTATACTGAACTTAACACCGACGTCAGAGTCGGTCCTACTTAAACTGCATAGTCTGACATACAGTAGTGGGAAATTTGCAGCAACACTTCATTACAATATTATACGGGTTTCTAGTGTAAAAGTGATAAATAACGGCGACATGGTGTTTTTTAGGTGCCGGCCGGTCACTGAAATGCCGGTTATAAAGTTTAACGGTGATTTTTCGAACAGCGTGTAATACAGTTACAATCCTTCATTAAATGAAAGTTTCGGAATTTAATATTGTGTTGAACTGTTTGATGCCTCAATCTTGATATTCACATATTAATTAAGAAAGGCTACAATGTTGATCGGCTTATATGAGCTGTTTTGAGAACTCGATATGTTCATTACTTCAGGCCATGTTTGTCGTCAATTGTTTCGGACAACTTTAGTTGTTTGTTGGATGTATGTCGTGCTTCAGACACAATTATTTACTAAATCTTAAACTTGCCTCTGAAACTCGTCAGAAATGCCCTGTAATCCACCTGCCATTCTTTGTAATTCTTCAGCTTTTTTTTGTAATTCTCCAACCATACTCTGTAATTCTTCAGTATTGTTCCGTCATTTTTCAATATGACTCACTATTGCTTCAGAATTACTCTTTCTTACTTCGGGATTACTCTGTATGCCTTCAATATTGCTCAAGATCTCTTCAAAATGTCTTGCACTAACCGCTCACTCACCGTCCCCTCCCCTCCCCCCAGTGCGCGCCACCCCTCCTCCTCCGGCATGGGGCGGCCAGGCTTCTACATCAACGGCGACAGCGACCCACCGTGAGTACTGCTCATCTTACCCCTCCAGGCAAATGACGTTGAAACAACATTCATTAAGAGTTAATTTCGTTGAAACAACATTTAATCCACGTTATTTCAACGTAAAAAGCCTGATGGAATCTTGCTATCATTGGTACTGTGTGAATATTGCGCTGCTACAGAGGCTCTGTGCTGCACGCGCTACCTCAGTTGCAGGCGTATGAATATCAGTCTTTGTGTTTAGAATAAAATGGCCATGTTTTGGCTGTAGGAGTACATCACATTATACAAGCGCTGGATAATATAATTCCTGTAGCATAATAGCGCCCAATTAGTGGACGCTGAAGGATAAATAATTATATAGTCACGCATTAATTTATGGGCTAAGCCACAAAGGAATTCAGTTTTGCTCTAACATAATTTTACGTTCGTTTTTAATAGAGCGATTTTTAACAGTTTATCATCTAATGGTAATTTTCGAATAAAATACTTTTTTCGAAACGATCGGTAACTTGAGGAAACAATTCATAGAAACTTTTGCAAGAGAATAACAAATACGTGTAAATGTGTAGGCTTATACACGAAACTCAACACCGGTCAGATTATCCTTTATTTTTATTTTATTGTAAAAGCCTGATAGATTGATTTGTTATTAGAATGTCACGAGTCCTTTGAAACTGGAAAATGTGGTCTTGTAATTAATCAAACTTATAATCGTACATAAAGTTGTCCACAAAGGCGCTGGAATTGCGTATATGTTTTAATTCCAACTAGTTTTTGCATCAGATTCTCACATAACTCAACATCTTATTTTGTTATTTTGATAAATTCCACCGTTTTGTGTCACATGTCACCTTTAAGATCTTTATTAAATTTTCGTGGGGCTGACAAATTATTGCAATTTTGGTTGTACTAGCTCGATTTTATGAGCGGGATTTGGACACCTTCAAGTTATACAATATCATGGGATTAAATACTCTACTTATTTGTGGTTTGAAGAAATCCTCGCTGGACAGATGTTTGTCGAATGTCGTTCGTTAAGCTTTGTTTTGAAGACGGATGGGATATGCAGTTAAATCCCACTACTTTTTTATGGAGCATTGTTTACCGAAAAGAAATGCCGTTTCTACAACGGCGCTATGATTATTTTAACAGACGCATCGCAATACTAAATTTTTTTATACATGAGGGTTGCAGATACGGACGTGGAAATGAGTTGCCAATATCAACCTCACTGGGTTTGAAAGTCAACCTCAGAAGGCATTTTAGTTTTTGTTAGAATGTTCATTTTGTGTTTTATGAGAAATGTATTATGTCAAAATGCAGCCCAGGAAGAGGAATTCAAATGCGCAAAAATTAAAGTGGAAATTTTATGAGAAGTTTACGACTTCCGCTGAGTCAGCTTCGTTTAATGACAGAGTGCACTTGATCAGGAGCTGCTGCATTTTGAAAATAATCGTCATAAGACTTCTTATCCAAAATTTCCTTACTTATTAAACCATTTTAAACTTTCACAGATCATAAAATACGTGTCATACGCTGAAAAAAATTCGAAAGAATAAAATATGTGGAACCTAAATCTGGAAACAGCCCTTTTATTTGCTGCATTTGCGAAAGATTCTTTAGTTGTTCTCGCGGTCGAATTAATTACGGGGCGGCAGTTGCGCAGTGGAGGAAATTTCTGGAATTTCAGGCCACTTGTCAGTCCTTGGAAATGACAGCGCGGCGTTTTTTCCCTCCAGCGACGAACAACTCGTTATTTTGCCCAAGATTTTTGTCTTGCATACCCTAATTCATTCATTTTGTGCATATAGAGAACTCAGCGTATGCCAACAGCTTCATTCTTTGTACATGTCACGAATTTATATCGGGCTAAAAAGTTCTGGGTCAATACACAAATAAACGCTTAGAAAGTAATTTTTTTAATTAATATTAGCGTAAAACGAAACGAATGATGTACTTAATTAAAATACAAGTTGAGATTTGATATCCGAAAAAATAGCATAATCAAAGAACCGAATAAAAAACACCAACAGTCGATCGATCAACGTGATATGGTTGATCGCATGAGTTACTATTTTGGTCACGCATGCTTTACTGTAGACGGGATGTTTTCGTTCATCATCCGAGTTTGATTTTCTGCAATTGCTGCGTCTTACGTATTACGTACGTGAGCATCTAGTATCTTACATACGTGAGCGTCTGGTATCTTACGTACGTGAGCATCTAGTACTCTACATACGTGAGCGTCTAGTATATCTAGTACCCTACATACGTGAGCGTCTACTACTTTACGTACGTGAGCGTCTAGTATCTTACGTACGTGAGCGTCTAGTATCTTACGTACGTGAGCATCTAGTATCTTACGTACTTGAGCGTCTAGTATCTTACATACGTGAGCGTCTATATAGTATCATACGCACGTGAGCGTCTAGTATCTTACGTACGTGAGCATCTATATAGTATCATACGCACGTGAGCGTCTAGTATCTTACGTACTTGAGCATCTACCTATATAGTATCTTACGTACGTGAGCGTCTAGTATCTTACGCACGTGAGCGTCTAGTATCTTACATACGTGAGCGTCTGGTATCTTACGTACGTTAGCGTCTAGTACCTTACGTACGTGAGCGTCTAGTATCTTACGTACGTGAGCGTCTAGCATATTACGTACTACGTGAGCTTCTAGTATCTTACGTACGTGAGCGTCTAGTATCTTACGCACGTGAGCGTCTAACCTGTTTTATTGCTTTCCGATATTATTGCTTCGATACCTGGACGAATTTGGCTGCGTTAGTTGTCATACATTTGATTCGTCAGAAATTTCGTCACTAAATGGATAAGAGTGACATGGCGATGGCTCCAGAAATTTATTTGGTTTCGCTCCTAAAGCAATTAATTGACTAGGAATCTTCCACTGATCCATTCCGCTACTTATTAAGAGCAAATTCGCGTTGTTCAAAATTTGTGTTGTTCAATTCCTTTTTACAACACTTCTCTTTAATTTCACTTCTTGTTTGTCTGTCTGCTACAAATCTTGGAATCGAAATTTAATACACTTCTACTTATCCTATCGATCTGAAATTTTGCACACTTGCGTAAAGTTGGAGGCAATGCATGAATCAAATGACAAAGTAAATAATTAAAATGTTTTCAATATTAAAAAAAATTAAAAAATAATTATGTCAGCTACAAATCTCATTGATATTTGACACACTTTTACCTGTCCAATTGATATGAAATTTTTGCACACTTGTGTGAAGTTGGAGGCAATGCATGAATCAATTGACAGAATAAATAATTTTGAAAAAATTATATATTAAAAAATTGAAAAATTAATTTTTTTAATATTCGAAAATAAAATTAGAAATTCATTGTACATCTGTAACATTGGAAACACTGGATTCTTTAGAAGAGTTGTCTTTAAAAAGTAATTTTTAAACGTATATTTTATTTCATTCTTAGTCACTGTAGAAATTTTTATAGCTGAAGCCTTGACCACTCTATTGGCCATTTTTCATGCGTGAGGGATACTATGTTGATAGGTGCTCTACACTCAGACAATTCAGTGGGGCTTCGTTCAAATAGCAATGCTTTTTTTGCCCTTAATGCTGGTCATCCTGAGCAAGTTTGATTATATCGGATAGGAGTTAGCAATGCTACGTACAGCAAGTGTCATTATTGGGGCAATATCACTATTTGGGCAGAATGACCCGTACATTGTTCTGACTGTACTTGCTCTGCTAATAACAACGTAAGCCTCGAGCCTTTGTGCTAATCCGAGTAATTCTCTCTCACTTACTTGTATAATCTTTATATACTTGTTGACCGACGCGGCTGCAAAGCGAGAGCCTGCACGTTGTCCGAAATGCCCAGGCTTTTGTCACCGATGAGATCAATTGTGGTAATCGTTGAGATGTTCACCAAATAAGCTTCCCGAAAGAAGATATCTCAACACAAGCGTGATTTTCTGTTCTTTTCGTTACCACGTGTTGACCTACAGACTCTCATACGCTATAGAATATATCCTCTAAATATTGCACGACCACGCAGTGCTCGATAGCCTCGAGCTGGACTCTGCAGCCTGTGAATTATTAAGTGCTGCTGCTCGCTGGAATGGAGACGGCGCTGATGAAGATGCCTGGCGCTCCATGAACGACCGGCGGCTGTGAATTTTGATAGCTCTCTGCTCCATGTCGTACGGCTTTTGCCGCCGCGAACTCCTCACATTCATCAGGCTTTAATAACACGTCAAGAATGCTTCGATGGCGGGATGAAGGCGGGATATTTAAGGTGAGCGTCGGTAATTGCCGCTCTGGAGCTGAGCTTTATATTCTGCGTCAGAATTGATATTTTGTTCATCGAGTTACGCGAAACACAAATTAATTAATTCGAGATGCACGAAAGCGAGCGCAGCCAACCGCTTTTGTTACTTTCGATTTTACTTTACATTGTCCTTGCTTCTAAGTTCTTGAATAACTTGCGATTTAAGCAGACAAGCGAAGTAAGTATTAAACCAAGATGTAGTGTAGTATTGAATCAGCGGGATTCAGGAGACCTTGAAATTTGCTGCCTTACGATTAGGAATAGCTGCTAGTTACCTTCTTAGTTAGATAATGCATCTATTGAAAACATGTATTCTATTCATCAATGAAAATTAACATACTGGCTATGTTAATTTAATTTTCATGCGATTAAAATAAAGAGATGATTCGATATTGATGTATTAAATTTGTAATGACGCATTTCCAAAGAATACACTTCTCATTGTTTCTACACGGTTAATTTTCAACTTTCAGACATGAAAATGTACCTATCCATATTGTATCAATCCCACACTGCTTTGTTTTATGTCGGGGCCTTTATATGAACATGCTAATATGATATCCCGCCACATTATTTTAACTGACGATGTTTTTTTGCTATGCCAACAATATCTTTGCATTGTATTCAGTGACTGACACAAACTCTGAGTGACTGACACAAACTCTGAGTGACTGACACAAACTCTGAGTGACTGACACAAGGCTTATTTACATGCGGTCTCGCGCGCCGACGGTTCGACGAAATCTTGGCAGAACTGCGCTGTAAATATCCGCTGCCGACTTTCGGCCGCCGCCTCTTTCTTCGTGAATATTTCATGTTTTGGCTCTGAAATTCACCTTGGCCTTTTGAATCATGGAATCAAATGTTGTTCGTTGCTTCATGAAGTCACTGATAAGAAAGGAGTTACTTTTTTACAGGGAGAGCACGTTGCGTAGGTCATACATGCTCGAGAATGTTGAGGCTTCGGTTTTTTTGAGTGAGTATTGACTTATGGGACGCATTCCATGCGAAAGAATTTGTAATTAAATGATGATAATTAAGTGATATTTTTCTTTTCCAACAGCCCGTCGTTGGAGGAGATCAGAGCGTGGAGTGAATCATTCGATCGACTCATGCGCAACTCAAGTAAGTCCGCTGCACACCTGTTCTATAATTAAACTGATTCTCAACCAGTATGGAAATCCTGATTTCATTGCTGGTTGAATAATTTATTCAATTCTTTTAACACTAATGATTTATTGTTTTTTTAACACAAAATTCGATTCTTTCGGTTGTTAAAAATGTTCCTAATTTAAATGGCGATTTGTTTATAAAGTTCTATATTTTTTCGCAAAACCAAAACAGTAATTACATTTAAGTAAAAATCATATTCTTCCTCAATTCTGTTGAAACATTCATATCATTCAACTAATTTGAACTAATTATATTATTATTTATAGTTGCTGTAAATAATAATAATTATATTATTATTAGTTTTATGGCAACTAATTTGTCGTACAAGCGTACCCAATATTTATTGTCATTCAAACTGTCGCTTATTTCCATGCCATATTTTGCTAAGGGTTCGGATGCATTAATTGGAAGCCTATTTATTTATGTGCCCGCGTATGGAAATAACTCCTCAGATCTGATCAAATGCTTAGTGCCCTCGGATTTGCAATTAGTTGAAGTTCCGGAAGGATTATAGCGATGCTTCAATGTTTTACGGAAGATATTTGAAGCTAACTTAATCAGAATAATGTGAGTCTGCAGTGCCTTAATCGACATTAAAGTAGGCTTTCTGTTCCCACTATATTTTTTGACTTTTACAGCTCCGATATTGATCAAACTTGGCCATACTTCGAAAAGTTTTGAGTTCATGGTTGTGCAAAACTATGCTCATCTAGTAATTTAATCACCCGCGTATGGAAATAACTCCTCAGATCTGATTAAATGATTAGTGCCCTCGGATTTGCAATTAATTCAAGTTCTGAAAGGATTAGCGATGCTTCAATGTTTTACGGAAGATATTTGAAGCTAACTTAATCATAATAATGTGAGTCTGCAGTGCCTTTATCGACATTAAAGTATGCTTTCTGTTCCCACTATATTTCTTTTACTTTTACAGCTCCGATATTGATCAAACTTGGCCATACTTCGAAAAGTTTTGAGTTCATGGTTGTGCAAAACTATGCTCATCTAGTAATTTAATCGTTTGAACTGCAAAAAGCTTGGAAATTTCTGCCTAAAATTTATTATATCTCGGTTCAGCAAATATCTTAGGTAATATATTTTCTTCGCCGTTTTCTTCTTTTTTTCTCATGTGTCTTCGCCGTTTACAATAGCTGTACATGTAATTGTCTTCTCGACGTCGTTTTAATACACATTGGTAAAACCTTTCTTTTATTCAGAATTACAATGAATTGACTTCAGAGATCAATTGAGCTGAGATGACCAAGAGTCTCACTGAACCACACTCAAGGGCTCCCTTCGGCTTGGATGTGCGGTGGTGTGAGAGGCTCTTCCTTATTAATTACCGTCAAGTGGTCTCGGCCGAATTGGCATCGTCATTCTAGGATATTTCTTGCCTCAATTAATTTCATTACTGTTACTGAACAAGAGTATTGTTTCAATAACATAATTTGAGTTGACAGGATAACGCATTTATATTGGATTTATTTACCATCTATCTCCTAGATTTGTATTTATAGTTTATAGCTGTGTTCCTTTCCTATTACTCCCGCTGTTTGCAATCTTGAAGTGAATATTTTCAAAAATGTCTTCTCTAGCTTAATTTTCACGCTATTATGGAGAGGCTGATATAGGAGAGGTCCACAGAGCTCCGTTCACCCTGCCTTTCTCGACAAAAATAATAAATTTCTATAATTTATAAAACCGCGAGTTACATCATACATGTGAATCAAATAACGTGTGTCAGGCCTGTTTAAGTTTCCTGACAATGCCAGCGCTGATCAGGAAAGTTACCCCGCAAAGTCCCTCGCGCGGGATATTCAATAAATCGACCTAAAGGTTACCCGCTGACGTCGTCTGCATATTACAGTCGCGTCCTCGCCCGTGGTCGATGGTAGCTTCTTCGTGTCTTAAATGCCAGCGCCGCAGCCTCGCTGCACTTTACCTTGCTGTGTACGAGCAGCCATCCTCTGCGCATTTATTTGCATTGCGGTTCTTGCTTCTCAGTGAACTTTTCATTGGTGCAATTTGTTTTATATATATGAGGCAATCAACTTTTAGAGCCCGCGTATTCTCACTTTTTCGGTCGAAAATAAACAATGTGTACTTTTAATAGAAGTGTCAAATATTTCTATAGTTACATGACAATTAATTCGAATTGCTAATAGCCTAAAATAAATAGGTCTTTTCAGTGTACTTAGTTACTTTATCAGGTGCACTTTTTTTCTTTGTAAATTATATTTTTGGGTTTTTGAAATGCAATTAAAATCTTACGTTATAATGTGAAAATGATCTTTGACAGTACATTGCAAGTTAATTTAAAAAGTGTACTCTCAGCCTATAACCGCGAATTAGATAAGTATTCAATAGCCTAATCCGGCCGCCATCCATCATCCGTTCCAAACGAATTCTGCCTGTTTCTAAGGGGAAAATCGCTTTGATTGGCTTATTAAGGAGATTTAAAATCGTTACCCCCGATGAAGTGGTTCAGCCAGAGCCATAACGAGCGCTGCTGGTCGAGGACATAAAAATGCTACAAAAAACCGGCAGAGGCGAATCGGCGCTGGACAATTTCAATTGCGTTCTAGGGCCGGGGTTATACAAATGTAAGGAGTTGAATGCAGAGGACATTGCAGAGCTTCGAGTGAGTTTGCCGCGGATATGTAGCGACGTCTCCAATATTGTTGTGACCATTTGTGTGCACCTGAATATGCTCTCTGTGAAGCGTCGGTGGTCTGCTGGTCTTACGGCCTCGAGAATATTTTTTTGCCACTTGTAAATTGTGTGCTTTACTATGTTCGGCTTAAGTCTCAAACTGGTAGTATCTCGATGCCATGTAATTTGATGCAACTGCCACGATCAAGTGCTATATATTGAATTTGCGATTTTCTGCTAGTAAATGTGTCGTTCCCTTGAATGTTATAGATAAACACCTGAAATTAATTAACCCCACAAGTGGCACGTTTTATTCATTCAGTTCATTTTGTTCAGTTCATTTTTTACGTTCACTGATTATAATTTTTGAAGTTCGGTCGTGTGACATCAATTTTGAAGTTCGGTCGTGTGACTACGTGTGACATCAAAATAATTGTTGTCTTCAGCTCTCATAATATTGTGAGTGCCGTAACTCCACGCGTGACTGGAAATATTCTCGAGGGAAGACTTGCTGTCAAAACACCTGGCTTGTTCACAGCAGTGGAAGATTTTGTGCAGAGGCGGCCGTAGGTTTTCTCAGCTTGTTCCTTGCACACACACACGCAAGTCGATGGCAAGCAAAGCCTGACACAATATCGTATATCGGCAAACACAAGCGTTAAAGCTTAAATCCCCTGCTGCCCTTCCTGAGCTGCAGCAAGACGTCGGCGTAGCTCTCCTTGAAGGTTCCAGTTTAAATTTTAGGTGCGACTGCATCTTCGTGTTAGTGTGATACTTATGCTTCAATTTAATTACTTACTTCAAATGTGTTGCGAGCGTATATAAAATTATATAAAATTATTAAAGCCGGAAGCATTTTTAAATCGCTGACATACTTATGCCTCCATCGAAAATAGGTATTTCAGCAAATGACGATTTGTTGGCCAATCACCATCGGTTAAAGCATTCACGCAAAACATATAGTTGCTGTAGAGTCAATTGTGTCAAGTAACAATTAAGTAGCATTTCTTCAGCTGAAAGGCCGGTCTTCTGTTGAAAACAATATGGTTTGATTGGTTTCATTTCAATTGTTCTTCGTCATCGTTCCAAGGGAGTTGACCTTCAAAGTTTTAGATATCATCATCGTTTGCCACTACCCTGGAGTTGGTACGTATCAGACTGGGTATGATTTATGTGGACTATCCTGGAGCTATAGTCGCTAGTTTGCTGCAAACTTCTGGGCATCGTTAGCTCGGTGCTCTGCCTTATGGCGGGTATGGCGAAGCATTGTTCGCGACGTCTAAACTTCCTATCGCTCGCGTTGGGTGCCCACAAATGTCGCAGGCTTTAATCAACCGCTCTTTTCATGTCTAAAAGTAAAATTATTCTGTATGAATGTTATCGCGTTTATGTTCGCTATGACTTGGTCGTCGAGAAAACAATCTAGAATGAAGGCAGCTGAAGAAAGAAAACTCTTCCATGGAAGTGTGATGACCACCACAACTCCAGTAATGCGTGGTGCCACATTCCATTGGTGGTGTTTGTATCACCGGCCGAGCGATGCTGATATCAGGTACGGGGCGTCAGGACGGTGTCAGCTGAGGTAATTAAGTGCGACTCTCGTGATAGAACATCGCTGTGCTGCTACTGAATCCTCCGTCACCTGAACGCTTGACTCAGCTGAATGTCGACCAATTTTCAGCAATAATGAACTTGCTAAACAGTGGCACGAAGAAGTAGAGTATCCTGGATACTCCGAAGTTACATCACGAAGTATCTCTGAGGCTTAGTTTGCTTAGGAACAATAGCCTGGTAAACTATTTGCGTATCTTTAGTCAGTTTTCACTAAAATGAGCTCGAGTGCTTGCCTCAAATACTAATAATATTCCAGGCGATGCCATTGAGACTTGCATTTCTCATGCAATGAACCTTTATAGTCATAGAGCGTCTTGCTTAGAAGAGTTTTTATGAGCGCGACGAGTGCTCCTCGTCTACTGATGAGCTTATAGAAGCAATAAAAATGCCATCTGTCAACGATATCTGCCTTAGGGAATTCTTATATTTAACTTCGTCAATTGGCTTTCAGCGTGTGAAAGATCATTTGAACACCAAAGGAACTAGTATTTTATGTATATTTTCTATAATACTTCCATTAGGGGATAAATTCGTTTTCAAATACCTATGAGGTAAAATTTTATCTGAAATTAAATTTATTCTGTGTTGGATGCAAATATGTCGGGAAAAATCTTGCGCCAACGCGTGTGTTATCGTTGATTTCCGAGGCCAAGAGACGTAGGTTTACTTTTTGTTTCAGTGCTGAT